AGGGCGCCCCCCCCCCCCCCCCCCTTTGGAAGCGATGTGCGCCTGCTCCCACGGTACGCGCCTCTGTCTCCACACACCGGACGGGCCCCCTCCTGCCCTCTCCTCAAGACACAAGAGACGAGTCCCAGCTCTGGCAAGTCGAGAAGCTGCTCGCCGGCCAGGCGCAATCTCGGCGAATCTCGGCGAATCTCGGCGAATCTCGGCGAATCTCGGCGAATCTCGGCGAATCTCGCTCGCCCGGCCAGCTGCATGCGCGCCTCGGCGAGGGCGCCGATTGAGTCCACCGCGTCCTCCACCGACTAGATGCTCCAGCAGGTCGTGGCGGAGGTGAGTGAGGAGGGCGAGGACGGCGAGGACGGCGAAGAAGAGGGCGAGGGCGAGGAGGCACCAGTGCCGGTGGCGGAGGAGGCGGAGGGCTTGCGTCTGCATCTGGACTCCTCGACCGTCTCGTAGGAGTCGGCCTGCGCTTGGCTGTTGTACGGGCTCGGCTTGAGCAGTTCGAGCAGCCGCTGCACCAGTTCCACGACCTCGTCGTGATGCGAGCTTGCGAATGGCGCCGTCGCCCGCCGCTTGCAGCTGGCCTCGCGCGTGAACTGCCTCTCCCGGCATCGCTGGATGGCGATTCGAAAGGTAGCAACTATTGGCCGGCATAGTCCGCATCGCCGCCCCCGCTGCCACCTTCATCGTCGCCCCCGAGCAGCTCTGCGAACCCGAGCTCCACAGGTAGGCCCGGCTCCGCAGGTAGGCCCGGCGGCTCCGCAGGTCGATCTGACTCGAGGTCTCCGCCGTCGATGCTTCCCTCCTGTTGTTCGGGTCGCATAGACACCATCTTCGAACTCCGCAATGATGTTGTCGAGCTCCGAAACGGAGGTCCATCTGGAGGCATGTGCGCGTCCGCGGCGGCGAGACTGCCGGCAGCGTCCCCCGCATGGGTCGAGGCTGCAGCGCCGCTGCGCGAGCCTCGTCCGACATCGCCCCGTTCGCCAGCTGAATGCGTTACACACATTTTTTTACCGACCCCACCGCACGTCAGTGCCCTCCTGGCAACCGGGACTTACACGCACGTCAGTGCCCCCAAGGGATGGGAGAACGGCACAGCGTGGCGGGGCATGTTTACATAAACGCACAACTCCGGACCCAAGACGCACAAGCACAGACAGTCGAGAAGGGAGAGACAGCAACGACAGTCAGAAGTCAGCGCTGGGTCCCAGGAAGGCGAATGCGATGACGGCCTCTAGTGTGAGCTCTAGCTAGTGAGCTCATACGCACGCCGGCAGATCGCGACTATATACAGCTAGTTAAGAGCCGATGTTTACTCGAGTACTCCGCGGCGCAAAATTCTTCAAACCCTGGATCGATCCGAACGAGGGGCTCTCCAACGAGTGCTATGTACCCAACCACGCTCGCCCTCGACGTCAACGGCTCCACGTGCATGGTCAGCTACGACCCTACCGCGAGCGTCGGCGACGTCCTCAACCACCTTGACCCTAGCTACCTGCTCGGCTCGACTGGCGAGTCCAAGATCATGCACGGCGAGCGGGAACTCGACAAGTCCAAGTCGTGGGAGGCGAACGAGGTGCCCATCGGCGCGACGGTCGTCGTCAAGCGCACATACCTGATGGTCGCCGTGCCCAAACCACCCAAGGCCGCGCCCGCCGACGGCATGGTCAAGGACGCCGCGTACATCGACAAGTCCTTCGGTGCCGGTGCCTATGCCGCCAAGGTGCGCGCGATCCGCAAGAACCGCAAGTGGCGGGTGAGCCTGCCGATGATTCGCAAGACCGCCTTCGTCGGACTCGGCAAGGCCAAGTCCGCGATGAAGCTCTTCCACACGAAGCTCAAGCGGGGAGAGTCTTTCTCGTGGTCCGCCTCGCCCGGCTCGCGCCGCTTTGCCTGCCACAAGTGCGGAACGCCAGGCGCCAAGGACGGGACGGCGGGCAAGTGCATCCGCGGCAAGCCCGACTGCCCCTGGCGGGCGTGGTCGCCCACCAGCGGCAAGGCAAAGCGCCCCGCCTCGCCCGGCACGCCCCCCGCCACGCCGCCCATGAGCCCGGCACGGACGCCCGGCACGGAATGGGCAAAGCACACGAGCAACACCACCGGCCAGCCTTACATGTACAACAAGAAGACCGGCGAGTCGCTCTGGCTCGACGTCTTCAAGAACAAGTTCGGCTCCTCCTCCTCCGACTCGGACTCGGAGTAGGGCTGAATACTCTGCACGCCCGCGCGCCGGCGCAAAAGGAAAAGCGAGCTTCTCCCTCTCGAAACTAGAGCCGTACGGACGGCTACGGCTCTAGCAAAGCGGCCTGTCGGTGACTGTTGTAGCCTCTGTGTCCCAACATGCCTGTCACTGTAGATCTGTCTTCTTTCTGAGTGTCTGTCACACAAAGATGCAGGGGCACACATGTGCACGCGCATGAGCTGAGCGGGTCAGCGAGGGTCAGGCGTTAGACTTGGACCGGCACTGCAAGTGCCACGGGCCCGCGCAAGGGCGCCGTCGTGGGCCGCGCCACGGCGGAGGCACCGCAGTCCACCCGCCCCGCCGGCCCGCCGCGGGCCACCTTCCTCGCAAAGTAGCAGAGCACGCTCTCGCCCGCCTTTGAGGAGGCGACTGTGACTGGCGGCCCGACCTCGAAGGCTGCGCCCTGCGCCTCGGCCTGCCGGAACGGGGGCGGCGCCGTCGGCGGCCCGAGCGAGAAGGAGACGAGGAAGCCGCCCTCGAGCAGCACGCGCCACGCCTCGGCAGAGCAAGTGGGGGTGAGCAGAGAGCGAGGAGAGCAGGCGGGCGGGGGTGAGCAGAGAGGAGCGGAGAGGAGCAGAGAGGAGCGGAGGTGAGCGGAGAGGGTGATAGGTAGCACGCGCCTCGGCGAGGCAAGCGGCGTGGACGGCGACGCCGCCGACGGCGACGGCCGAAAGCGCGCCCTTGTCCACCACCATCAGCTGCGAGCCTGCTCACGGCCAGCCCCGTGAAGAGACGCCGTTCACACGCACGCGCCCTTGCCCGCCCGCCATGCGCTGCGAGGGGCCTGCGTCGAACTGCAGCCGCCGCGCGTCAGCGACGACCCAATCCACGAGAGGACGGCTCCGCAACCGCATCGAGCTGTTCAGAGCGAGAGGTGTGAAGGGACGCTGTTCAGAGCAGGGCTCGCCGCCGCAGCCGCATCGACCGCAGCCGCATCGACCACACCAGGCTCGCTGACACGTCGCTCGCCAGCACACGCACCGGCCGGACGGCGCGGCAGCCCGCCTGCCAGATCCGAGAGGGCTGCAGACAGAGGGAGAGGGAGAGGGAGAGGGAGAGGGAGAGGGAGAGGGAGAGGGAGGGGTGTGTGCGGTGGGATCTGTGAGGCATCGAGAGTGGCCGAGCACGCGCGCCGGGTCCTGGCGGCCGGCGCACGCGGCGGCCAGCTCGTCCGCCTGCCCACAGGTATCCTGCGTCTGCAGCCTCGGGTCTCTTTTGACTGCGTCGAGCCTGTCTGCTGAGAGAGAGAGAGAGAGATTCGTCTCTTCAATTCTGTTGAGACAGGGCGCGAGGCGGCTAGCTCGTCTGCCAGCGCATCTCCCCAGATCTCCCCAGATCTCCCCATATCTCGCAGCTAGCTCGTCTGCCAGCGCGCTGGTGCCGTTGCCAAGGACGAGGACGCTGGCGACGCCCTCCGCAGGGCTTGCGAGGGGCGCCTGCTCGCCGCGCAAACCACCTAATCTCGGGTCATCTCGGGTCATCTCGGGTCTTTCTGGGGTCATCTCGGGTCATCTCGGGCCTCTCGGGCTTGCGAGGATCACCGCCGCCGCGGCCGCCGCAATCCCGCGGCCCCTCTTCTCGCGCCAAGCGCTCCAGCTGGTCGAGGAGGGGCTTGGACGCGAGCGCCGCCGCCTCCTCGGCCGAGCAGAACCTGTGTTCACAGCCAGGCGCGTGTGAACAGACGCCGCTCGCACTTGCACAGCCGCCGCCGCGTCCTCGGCCGGGCGGCGCCACTCCTCGCGCCCGCCACACGTGCACGCGTAGTGCGCCGCCCAGTACCACGGGGCGGAGAAGGCGGGGAAGGCTCGCACGAGCGCCTGCGCCACACCCGAGATCACCCGAGATCACCCGAGATCACTCGAGATCGCCCGAGATTACTACCCGAGTCTACCCGAGGAAACCCCGAGATCACCCGAGACTACCCGAGGGGAACCCGAGACTACCCGAGGGGAACCCGAGATTGCCCGAGACTGCCCGAGATTACCCGAGATTGCCCGCTTGCAAGAGCGCCTGCGCCACCAGCACGCTGAGCAGCGCGGTGGGAGGCACGACCGAGCACGCCGAGTAGCCCAGCAAGGCCGCCGCGGCGGCGACGGCGGCGGCGGCGGCGGCGAGGGCGGCTCTGGTGCGGCTGCCGCGTCTCGCGATGTTGCGGTCGATCGGCGGGCGGTATGCGCCACCCGCCACGCTCAGCTGCACGTAGCTGCCGGCGGAGCAGCGCAGATGCAGCTCGAGGGCGAGGGCGGGGAGGGCGAAGACTGCCGCGACCGGCAGAGCCCAGCGGAGAGAGGCGGTGGCGAGGCGGGCTCTGCAGGCGCCCTGTGAGCAGCAGCATTAGCATCAGCATCAGCAGCAGCAGCAGCATCAGCTCTTCATATGACTATGATCGCGCTATACCTCGGACTCGCTCAGCGTGAGGGCGGCGACGAGGGCGAGAGCGACGGAAGACCACAAGGTCACGCGCCTGTCCACAGTGGGAGAGGCGTGAAGAGACGCCGTTCACGCGGCGAGACACCGCAGGCGGCCACGCGCAATGCAGCCAGGTCGAGCGACAGGGCGACGGGGAGGCCTAATCTCGGGTCGTCTCGGGTCATCTCGGGTCATCTCGGCAGGCCGAGCGACAGGGCGATGGGGCCGAGGCGAGACATCGCCGCCTCGAGCTGGCCGAGAGCCGGCCGAAGTCTGCTCGAGGTTTGCTCGAGATCGGCCGAAGCCTCCGCGGCGGACGCGTGCGGAGAAGACGCCGCCTAATCTCGGCACGATCTCGGGGAATCTCGGGTAGTCTCGGCGGAGGCACGCGGAGAAGAGCAGACGCCGCCGCCGCGAAGCCCGCCCTCCGGCTGGCGTAGAGGGCCTCGCTGCCCCGCAAGGCGTCGCTGCCTCGGGCGGTCGCCGCCCTGAGGACAGTGTACGCCACCGGCCGGTTCCCCTGCGTCGCGTTGCCACGGCCGCGGTGCAGCAGCAGCCTACTCTCGGGCGATCTCGGGTGATCTCGGGCGATCTCGCGTCGCCACGGCGTGCGGTGCAGCAGCAGCAGCCAGTCGAAGAGAAGAACGTCGCCGACGGCGAGCTCGGGAGCCACCGGCACCGTGCGCGGGTCGTTGAAGCGGTGCGAGCCTGGGCGGAGCTCGGTGGCCCCGTTGTGCCGCGTGACGGGCACGAGCGGGATGAAGGCGTTGACGAGCCCCGCCTACTCTCCCGTCCTCGCGGGTCCTCTCTCCCGTCCTCTCGGGTCCCCTCGGGTCCCCTCCGGTCCTCTCCGGTCCTCTCCGGTCCTCTCCGGTCCTCTCCGGTCCTCTCCGGTCCTCTCGGCTCCTCTCGGCTCCTCTCGGCTCCTCTCGGCTCCTCTCGGCTCCTCTCGGCTCCTCTCGGCTCCTCTCGGCTCCTCTCGGCTCCTCTCGGGTCCCCTCGGGCACTCTCGGCTCCTCTCGGCTGAAGGCATGCACGGGCCCGCCTCTCCCCCGTCGAAGTGCCACGGCTGGTGCCTCCCTCCCGGGAGCGCCGTCACGCAGCCGACAGAGTCCACCTGAGACGAAGACAGGTCCGAGACAGGTCCGAGACGGGTCCGAGAAGGCTCGCAGAGGGCAGGCCGCGCGGCGGGCAGAGTGGGCGCCTCGCGGATGCAGCGGAGCCCCGCCGCGTCTAGCACGGGGCGCGCCACCGCCTCGGCGGCGCCGGCTAGCCTGGCGAAGGAAGCCTCGCAAGCGGCGCCGGCGGCATTGCCGTCCGCGGCGCTGTCGGCGGCGCTGCTGTCTGCAGCGCTGTCTGCAGCGCTGCCTGCGGCGCTGCTGTCGATGGCGCTGCCTGCGGCGCTGTCCGCGGCGGCGCGGTCTGCGGCGCTGTCCGCGGCGGCGTGGTCTGCGGCGCTGTCCGCGGCGGCGTGGTCTGCGGCGAGGGCTCGGTCGTAGCCGTGTCGGAGGATCCGCATGTCAAAGCGGCGCTGCGAGGCGTTCTGGGACCACAGGTCGGCCCAGCGCATCGGCTCGCGCGACGGGTCCTAGCGGACGCGTCGTGGACGTGTCGCGGACGTGTCGTGGACGTGGCGCGGTCGCGTGTCGTGGACGTGTCGTGGACGTGTCGTGGACGTGCCGTGGACGTGTTGTGGACGTGCCGTGGACGTGTTGTGGACGTGTTGTGGACGTGTCGTGGACGTGTCGTAGACGTGTTGTGGACGCGTGTCGTGTACGTGTGTCGTGGGTGGCCGCTGGAGGCGGTGGGGCGCGCGGGGAGGGGCGGGAGGGGAGAGGCGAGAGGGCGGAGGGGGAGGGCAGTTCGAACCTTGCCCTTCCCCCGCGCTCGGGCGAGCAAGCACGCGAGCCGCGCCTCCGCCGCCGTAGCGCAAGCCTCGCAAGTGTCTTGCGGCACCAAGGTGCACGCGGCAATCTGCGCGCCTGCCTGGCCGGAAGAGGCGGCGTGCAGCCGCTGCCCGCCCCCTCGGAGCACCACGAACCCGTTCTGCAGCAGCGAGGATGCGGCGGCCGCCTCCCACCCCGCCCCCTCCAGCGAGGGGCACACCTCCCAGCGCACCGACCCGAGGCCTCCCCCGCCGCCATGGCCCGCGAGGCCGGCGCGGGCGGCGGCCGCTGACGCGGCGCGCACTGCAGAGCGCGCGCGCAGCTTGAGGTCGTCGAGGAGTGCGACGCCGAGACTGGGCGGCGAGGGAGGCGGCGAGGGAGGCGGCGAGGGAGGAGGAGGCGAGGGAGGCGGCGAGGGAGGAGGCGGCGAGGAAGGAGGCGAGGAGAGATTGGTTGAGGGTGTGAGGGGCGAGGCGGTCAGAAGGGTCGCCGTCGTGTCCTCGGCGGCGACGCCAGCCTCCACGTCGCCCGCAACCCGCGTCGCAACCGCCACACGCAGCGGCGGTGGCGACGACAGCTGGACCATCGCCCTGCGCGCGTCTGCCGCGGTGAAGTCGTTAACGGGAGGCACGCAGCGGCAGCCTGCTCACAGCGGGACGCGTGTCCAGACGCCGTTCACAGTGCAGTACCGGAGGCGGGCAGCGTCGGCCCAGTAGTCTGGAGAGGCGGTGCAGCTGGTAGTGGAGAGCACCGCCCCGGCCGCAGCAGCGCGGCGCGCAGTTTGCGAGCAGAGCGAGAGCGAGCCAGCCGCTGACCGCCATCGCCACCTGTTCACAGCTAGCCGCGTGAACGAGACGCTGTCCTCACTCACAGCCAGCTCCCGGCCCCCAAGCGCCACCGGCCAGCCCAGCCCATCTCCGACGGCGGCGGCGACGGCGGTGGCGGAGGCCGCAGTCGCGCAAAAGTGCATGCCGAGGAGGAGTCGAAAGTAGGGCATGTTGCCTACAGGTAGGCTCGAACGGATCGGAAGCTGCTCTCGGGAAGCTTCCTGTGGGCGAAGGTAGGGCATGCTGCCGCGCCACGGGACGACCGAGCCGGCGATGCAGCGGCCGAGCACGCCGCAGTGGTGGTCGAAGCCAGAGACGCAGCGCTGGCACACACTGCAGTGGTGGTGGGGTGAGCCGTCGCCGGCGCGCCGCCAGACGCAGCAGCGGACGCAGTAGGTGTCACGGCCGGCGACGGGGTTGCGGAGCCCGGCGAGGTTTTCTCCTCCGCCTTCGAGCCTCGCCGCCACCTCGGGCGGAAGAGGTAGGCAGGTCGAGGAGCTGCGGTGGACGGTGCCAGGGTCGATCCACAGGACACAGCACAGGCAGCCGAGCGCCACGGCGGCGAGTATGCACATGAGCGCCGGGAAAGCCCAGCTGACCTTTGCGGCGCTGGCGAGCGAGCATACGAGGCTCAGGTGCACAGCCACGAGGCCGCACACTGCCACCACGCCACGCCGCGCCTGCGACTTGCGTGCGTGAAGCGGCGCTGGGAGAGGAGGAAGGCTAGAGAGGGCTGGAACCGTCGACGATGACGACGACGGCGTTGACCCGAGCAGTCTCATGGGAGGCAGGGTGGCCAGTGTTTGCGTTGAGCGGGGTGGGGACAAGACGGTCGCAACCACTCGCGCCATGGAAAATAAAAGTCGCCCAACACTGCTCGCTCCCTCTCGCTCCACCGCCGCCGGCGAGCACAGACCCGCAGCCCGGGGCCGCGCGGCCGGGCGCCACGGTGATGGCGGCCTCGCGGCCGTCCATCGATCTCGACGAGGATATCGCGGCCCTCCTGGAGCGGGCGCGCGTTTCTGCGCTCGTCTCCGGTAAGGTGGTGCCGCAGCTGCTGGCCCAGGACGTCGGCAACGTCGCGGCGCTGCTCGAGGCGGTCGCCGAGGACGGCCTCGAGGGGCTCGGCCTCGGCAAGACCGTGCAACGTCAGCTGTGCCGCTGCCTGCCGGCCCTGAACAGCTGCGACGCGGCTGAGGCGGCTTTGTCATCCTTTGCCTCCCTGTCTCTGGTCGAGCCCCCGCTTGGGGCTGCGACTGGCGCGCAGGCGGGCGGCAGCGCGATGGCCGGCGGCGATGGTGCTGCTGGCGAGCGCGCTGGCGGCGGCGGCGGTACGGACGCTGCCGAGGGTGCCGCGCGTGCCGCAGACGGGCATGCGATTGCCGCAAGCGGCCCCCGCGGCGGAGCTGGGAGTGGCTCCGCTGGCGAGGAGCACGGCGGCGGGGCCGCGGCTGGCGGCGAGGGCCGCGGCGGCGCGCGCCCCAAAGAGGCGGACAGCGGCGCCTGCAGTGCGCAGGCCGCGGAAGGCGGAACCGGAGGCGGCGCCCCGGGGGCCTATATGGACCCCGTGGCGCCCGCGCTGCCGGCTAGCGGCGATGGGACGATTGCCGCCGCGGGGGGGGAGGAGGAGGTGGAGGGCGCCGCTGCCGCCGCCGAGGCGGGCCGCCGCGCTCCGAAGACCCTAATTGTTGCCGATCCTTCAGCGACGCGCCATACCGACACCGGGCACAGTTCGCAGCCACTTGCTGCGTCCGCCGGAGCTTCGGATTCTACTTACAGCGGCGCGGACGCGGAGGATGCGGTGGCAGGAGGGGGCTCTGGGGCGGCGGAGGCGAGCGCGGCGGCCACGGCCGAGGAGGACAAGCGCGTCCGGGCGCTGAGGATTGCCCTGCAGCACAGGACGCAGATGCCCGTGACGGACGAGGAGGCCCGGGCTATCCTCCAGGCGCGAGGGGGTCGCGAGACGCCCGTGACGGAGGAGGAGGCGCGGGTCATCCTTCGGGCGCGGGGGGACGTCGGGCACGGCAGGGCTACCTTTCAGGCGCGGGCGCGCGGGCGCGGTGGGCGCGCCACGGCATCGCCGGCGCTGGCGAGCAAGGGCGGCGAGAAGCTATCGCGGCGTGGGAAGAAGGCGGTGGCGAAGGAGGCGGGCGAGGTGGTATCACGCGAGGAAGGCGAGGCGATTTATCGCGCGACGCTCGAGTCGCTGTTGGCGTCCACCGGGTGGACGCCGCGCGCCGCGGAGGAGAGGGCGCGCGAGGAGCAGCGTGCGCATGTTCGGCAGATGCGCTGGGCAAGGGAGCACGGCCGGGGGGAGCCGGTCCGGTGCTTTGACGCGGAGGAGTACGACGAAGGCGACGACGCTTTCGACGCGCTCTTCGACGGGGGCTCGGGGTACGGGTGGGATTCCCCCTCGGGGGGCGGCGCTTTCTTCTAGGCGCCCGCCTTGACCCAACATAGAGGGCGTTGTGTAGCCTAGCTTTTGGGTAATATAAAAGTCGGCGAAGGTGCAGCACTGCCTGGGGGACTGCTGCGGCGGCCCCGTCGAGCCAGTCGATGGCTCGTGGCACGTCGAATGGGTGAGCGGAGGGGCGCTGCACTCGGAGATGCCCGTCTTCTTCAATGGCCGCTACCGTGAAGCAGACGTGGAGGAGGTCCGCCTCGGGGGACCGCGTCCGCCGCCCCGACTTAGCTCTGGCGCCGCTGGCAGCTCGAGCGCACACGCGGACCTGTCGCTGGGCGGGGCAGGTGGCGAGGGCGAGGCGGCGCCGAGCGAGCCCACCGGCGCAGAGCCCGCGCACGCGCCGAGCACCGCAGCTCTCGAGGGGCCTGCCGTCGCCAACTACACGGGGCCCACCATCGCCAACCGCACCTGCGTGCAGCCACCCTCGGCGCCGCCCTCGCCGCCACCGTCATCCTCTACGCACGTGGCGGGCGACGCCGCCGCCGAGACCGCTGAAGCAGCGGCCGCGCCGGCCGCCGCAGGGGGCGCTGCCACTGGTGCGGCGGTCGCGGAAGGAGAGGCAGCGGCGGCCATCCTCACCGCCGCCATGGAGGTCGCCAACGCACGCCTCGACGCCGCCATCGCCAGCGCCACGCCAGAATCGATGGCCACCCGGAGAGGCGGGCACGCCGAGTACCTCCAGAGGGCGCCCTCCCCCAGATAGGTCATCGAAAAGTCGTCTGGTCTGTACGCCAAATTGAGATGGACGGGCTCGGGCATTGTACCCGACTCGTCGCTAGATGGGAGCACCTGCGACCTTTGCCGCCTCGACCGCCGCACCTCCACCGACTCCTCCGACTCCTCCTCCTCCTCCTCTGCGCTCGAACCGGCGACTGACGCTGCGAACGACGAGCATTCAACTTTCGCTTGGCCGGGTATTGCAATACTGGGACAAAGTGTGTGTCCGGGTATGGTAAGGACCACAACGGCCAACTGCAACGGCCGGCAGATCAACCTCTGTGTGAGTATAAAATGAACTCGGGGGCACGGGACGCGGCACAAACGGGGCACAAACGCCAGGCTACAAAGACCTCTGTGTGAGCTCTGTGTCTTGATTTGCCAACAACAAACCTAAAACCTGCGCTGGCAGAGATGCGATGGGTGAGTAGGAAAGAGATTTGCCGGGGCGGGGCGCGCGCGGGGGCGGCGGGTGTGCGGCGAGTGTGCGGGATGTCTGTGGGCCTGAGAAGAAAGAAAGAAAGAAAACAGACAACCCAAGGGAGGGATGGGGGAGGACGGCACGCCGCCACCACACAGGGATTTTAAGGAGAGGTGTGTGGTGCGCTAGCCGTCGCCCACCCTAGGGAGTCTGCCTCTTCCTATCTCTCTTCGCAGTCTCTCTCCGACTCTCGCTGCAACCTTCATGCCACCTCGCGGTCGTCCCACTCTCGTCGTTCTCTCCCTTGTCATTTCCTCCTCTGTCGCGTCGTTCCCTTCTGCCTCGTCCAGGTGCGGCGCGGGTTGGCCTGTGCTGCTGCGCGGGCCTGCTTGCGCCGCCACTCACGTACAAAGGCAGACTCGTTTCGCCACGGCAGTACACGGCCCGCCCATTTCGGGTCGTCGTGCAGCACCCCAGCATAGTCGTTTGTGAAGTTGTAACTGAAACCCCACCACTCGGCCGGGTCGCTCGTGTCCGTGATGGTCGACCCGGCGCCGATGATCATCTCACCCAGCCCGGCATTTCTCACCAATCGACGCAGAAAGTCGAGCCGCGCTGACACAACGGCGTCGGAGGCGGAGGAGTTGACTTTGAACGCTGGCCCCGAGTGCACTTTGAACACCAACGCACCGCCAACGCGCAGGTAAGACTGGTGTTTGAACGCCGGCAGCCAGTCGTCGCGCACCATACGTTGCCACTCCATATCAGAGTGCACCCCAAATAACGGTAGCGCGATGCACCACTCGATCATGAACTGCATGCGGTGCGCCTCCTTGCTCGACATGAACAGCGACAGGCCGTCGTTCAGGTGCCCAGAGCCCGGAGCGCGGTGTCCGCATGGGTAGTTATCGTACCACAAGATGCTGAAAAAGTCCACGCCCGCACTGCTCGCGGCAACGATATCGCCGTCCATGGTGGACTGCTCGGTCGTGTACTGGCCGATGAGCGGCACGCGTCCGGGATACAGAGGGCGCCAGTCCACAGATGTGTTCCACGGCTCTTTCCACTTGTCGCCTGGCCCCGTCCACCAGCCAGCAAAGTAGTTGATGCCTATGAGCGGCGCGGAGGGCGGCGCCGCGGCCACGTGCCAGGCTGGGCCGGCGGCGAGCACCGCCAGGGCCATGGTCATATGAGGCCACGCCGTTGGCCATTGCATGCGGCACGGCACGACCATCCACTATTGCTCGAGCTGACACGTGTTCAATTCGGCCGTATATTCGCCATTCGGCTTTGTATTCCCGCCCTGAGGTTGGTGTACTCAGCACGCAGGTCGGCGAGCTGGGGTACGAGCTCTTTGTGCCCACCGAGTCGGCGGCTCACGTGTACGAGGCCATCGTCGCAGCCGGCGATCCGCTCGGGCTCGTGCATGCATGCCTCGGCCCTCGCTGTGAACAGCGTCTCTTCACACCTCGTCCAGCTGTGAACAGGCGAGCCGCTCGGGCTAGTGCATGCAGGCCTCAAGGCTCTCTGCTCGCTCCGCCTCGAGAAGGGGTGCGCCGCGCACTCCCTACCCCACGGTACCCGAACCCACCCTCCCCTACCCCACGGTATCCGAACCCACCCTCCCCTACCCCACGGTACCCGAACCCACCCTCCCCTACCCCATGTACCCGAACCCAGGGGTGCCGCGCGCTTTCTTTTAGACCATCCCCACCACCGAGGCCACTACCTCGAATTGGTTGGTAGTGCGCCTTCCCGCCTGCCTCTGTCGCGATTCTGCTTTCGTGTCTCCCTGCTTTGAATTCGTCTCGGAGCCCTGATGCGCCCGAACCTCCATCGGCTCCTCTGCAGGTACCGCGACTACGTGCGCAGTCATCCGGAATTCACCCAATCGTTGAGCTGAGTTGCCCCGACGGTAGGATGCCGTGTCAAGGCCCAGCTGGGCGCTAGGAGGTGCGCCCCGCCGCACTGGCGCAGGGCGCGACGGCAGTGGCGGCGGTTTGTGCTGACGGCGGCAGCGCTTCGAAGCGGGAGCGACGGGCCACTGTCAGGACAAATCGTCGGGCGCCAGGCAAAATGCGGGCGCGCTGCCGCCGCGGCGCGAACGAGCCCGAGCGAGGCACGCGCCAGCGCCGCTCGCCGAGCCGCCGTCGGCGGTAGCGGACCGCGCCAGAGACTGGCCGGCGAGCGAGCGCGGTCGACGAAGAGGTGAAGCGCCCGCGACAGCAGGATGAACTGGCGGGCCAAATCGTCGGGCGCCAGGCAATGCGGGCGCGCTGCCGCCGCGGCGCAGACGTCGGCGGCGAGGAGCTCGAGCGCCCCCAGCGTGTTAGCGAAGCGAAGCCAGCGTGCCATGCCGACGGCTCACCTATATAGGTGTATATTATAGAGCCATCACCGAGGCTGGCTGGAATTTTAGAGCCATCACCTTGGGCTGGTCCGGTATTTGGGGGCTGGGGGCCAAGGTATTTTAACCCAGGCGTGGCCAAGGTATTTTTGAGCCGTCACCCAGGCTGGTTGAAGGTAGTTTTGAGCCGTCACCCAGGCTGGTTGAAGGTATTTTTGAGCCGTCACCCAGGCTGGTTGAAGGTAGTTTATCGCCGTCACCCAGGCTGGTTGAAGGTAGTTTATCGCCGTCACCCAGGCGCAGGATGCTTTACGCCGCATTCCCGGCGACCTTCTGACCAGGAAGGTAATCGTCTGCCCAAGGCGGTGCCTCTCTGCGTCCGTCGCGTTCGGCGCCGGTGCCAGTGAGCGTCCGCAGGTTCCTCGCGCGTCCGGCTGGCCGGTGCCGCGAGCGTCCCAAAGTGGTACCTTGCAGGCCCGGCTTCTAGGCGCCACAGCATTAGGCTTTAGGCGCCACAGCCTGACAGTGCAAGCTTCCGAGCAGACGGGTTTGGATGCTTTGCGCCGCATTCCTGGCGACCCGCCAAGAGCCTCAGGGACGGCGGGTGGGTGGCTGAGCCGGCTCGGCTTCTAGGCGCCACTTCAAGCAAAGAAGGGGAGGGAGAGAGCGACGCGGCGAGCGCAGGCGGCGAGCGTGCACGTCGCCTGTGCGGCGTCTTGTTCACTCCCCTTTGAGCTACCTTTGTGCCCCCTTAGGGGCACCCCTCCTGCGCTGCGCGTATGGTCACCCCTCCCTTCCGCCCTGTTGTTTTGGATGCCCCGCTCCGAGAAAGCATGTCTCGCAGCTGCGAGAAAAGACCCTCTCACACACACCTCATCCACCGATTGACCCCCCCCTCCCGCACTCTTACCTCAAGGGTGAGAAGGCACACGCCCCGGCCACCCACGCCGCGGCCCTCCCGCGCTGAATAAGTAATGTGGACGGAGGCGCTCCGCAAACACAAGGCCTGCAGCGCCGCCGCTTCCCCGGCGGCAAGCCGGGTCAGGAGGGGGCCGGGCCCACTTCTGTACTCGCCAGCCGGCTCCTCGACGGCGTAGACCATCGTCTGGGAGCGGGCGGCGGCGCCGCCGCCGCAGCCGGCCTGGCTGCCGCCGCGGCCCGCAGCTGCTGCGGCATATCTCGCGGTTGGAGCTCCTGCGGCGCGTTGCGCGCCTGCGACGCGCTCGCGCTTCCCAGCCTGCGTGGTGGACACGCCGACATGAGGGCGGGAGGGCGGTCTTGTGCGTGCGTACTTTTAGCTGACTGGGAGGGAGTCTTGTGCAGTGTGTTCAGAGCACCGCGTGAGTACGAGGGGGGCGGATACAATGCATGCGGAGTCCGTGTCCTCCCGAGCGCTGGTTGGGATACAACGCGTCTTCCGCGCCCCTGCCCGCCACAGGAGCGGTAGAGGCGCGCCGAGAGACGGGGAGAGACGGGGAGGTACGGGGAGATACGGGGAGATATTCCGCGTCTAGGCTTCGCTGCCCGCCCGAGGAGCGGTAGAGGCGGAGCCGGCGCGGCGGTGACGGCGTGCCCCTGAGGAGCAGAAAGTCCGGTCCCCACATCTCCCCACATCTCCCCACGTCTCCCCGCATCTCCCCACATCTCCCCGCATCTCCCCATATCTCCCCGCATCTCCCCGCATCTCTCCCCACATCTCCCCGCATCTCCTCACATCTCCCACAGATCTCCCCACAGATCTCCCCACATCTGCCCACATCTGCCCACATCTCCTCACATCTCCCTGCATCTCCTCCGCATCTCCCCCCATCTCCCCGCATCTCTCCCCGTATCTCCGCAGATCTCCCCGCATCTCCCCGCATCTCTCCCCGTATCTCCGCAGATCTCGCCTCCCCGTGTGCGCGTCGGCCGGCGGCATGCGGTTGCAGCAAAACAGGAGCACGGTCAGGCCGAGTACGACGCGCATGGGCCAAGGGCCTGCGTGGTGAGGGCGCCGGCATGAGGGGCAGGGAGGACGGTGTTGTGAAGCGGCTTCAGAGCACCGGCGTGGAGTACGAGGGGGGGCGGATACGGCGGAGGGCAGCGGGAGACGCCTCCTGCCCGAGCGCTGGGGAGATGTGGGGAGATGTGGGGAGATGTGGGGAGGTGTGGGGAGGTGTGGGGAGATGTGGGGAGATGTGGGGAGATGTGGGGAGATGTGGGGAGATGTGGGGAGATGTGGGGAGATGTGGGGAGATGTGGGGAGATGTGGGGAGATGTGGGGAGATGTGGGGAGATGTGGGGAGATATGTCCGCTTCTAGCGCCCAGGGCCGCGGCAGCAGCCGCCGCGCCCGCCCGCAGAGGAGAGCGCCGGCGAGTTGCGGGCCTGTTCGCAGCGGCGGCGGTGTGTGTGTGTGTGTGTGTGTGTGTGTGTGTGTGAAGAGTGATCCTCCCCCCACCGCCGGGCTGCAGGTGGCAGGCGTGGTGTGAGTCCTCACACTAGAGGCCGTCCTCGCATTCGCCTTGCTGGGACCCAGCGCTGCCTTCGGACTGCCGCCGCTGTCTCTCTCCCTTCTCGACTGCCTGTGCTTGTGCGTGTTGGGCCCCGGGGTAGTGCTTTTGTGTGAGTCTTCACGAGCACCGTGTGGATACGAGGGCAAGCCCAGGGCACAGGGAACACCGCTGCATGCGGCTGCGTGCGGCGGTGTACAGCGGAGTCCGTGTCCTCTCGAGCGCTGGTTGGGGTACGAGACTACGGACTCCGCTTCAGAGTTGGCGGTCCACCCATGTCTCCCCCGTATCTCGCCGTATCTCCCCCATATCTCCCCGCGATCTCCCCCCCTATCTCCGCACCTCGCGGTCCAGCGTCCACCCGCTGTTGGGGAGATATGGGGGAGATATGGCCGCCGGCCCTTTTCGCGCGGGAAAGAGGGGAAGGCCGGGGGGGGGGGGAATTTGGGGGGGCCCAAACTTAATTAGTGTGAATTAAAAATAAAAAAAAGGTTGAAAAAAAGGCAGAGGGAACAATGGAGTTGAAGGAAGTAGGCCCTCCTGTTTGGGGGGGGGGGGGGGGGAGAAAGAGCAAAAAGAGAGAGGGTGAGAAAAAGGGAGGGAGAAAGGGAGGGAGGGAGGGAGGGAAAGGGAGGGAGGGAGGGAGGGAGGGAGGGAGAGAGAGAGAGAGAGAGAGAGAGAGAGAGGGAGAGAGAGAGAGAGAGAGAGAGAGAGAGAGGAGAGAGCGCACCTGTGCAGCGGCAGGAAAAAGGGGGGCCGGCCACCGCGCGACAGCTCAGGACTAAACGGCTTCCAGCCGCTGCCGCGCTGCGCCGCGACAACCGGCGGCGGCAGCGGCGCGGATGCGGAGGGCGCGGGCACGCGAGACGCGGGCGCGGGCCCTCCCCTGGGCGGCGACCCCCGGTTTCGGCGCCCTAGCTGCTGAGGCGCCAGGCCCGACTCGGGGGCGCGCCACCCCCACCCTTCCTCCACGTCGGCGTCCGACGTCGCCGGCGGCGGCGCGGCGCTGCCCGCGCGGCCGGCTCGCCGGTTGCCGCCCGCCAGCGCGAGGCCTCTCCTCTTCTCGGCGATCACGGCGCGGAGGCCGACGACCCAGGACTCGAAGTCGCGCGACCCGTTGGGCACGCGCAGCTCGTACGTTGGCCCCGTCGTGTGCAGCTCAAACTCGTGCCGCGCCTCGTCCGACACCGTGATCCCTCGGATCGAGTGGAGCGGAAGCGCCACTCCGCCGACGATGAAGGCCCGCGCCTCGAGCTTGCAGTCGCACGGGGGGTAGAAGATTGGAAAGCGCGCCGAGCGCTTGAATAGCACGCCCGATAGCTGCCGACGCAGGGCGCTGTTGCGGACCACGAGCCTGCGGAGTGATGCAATCACCCGCGCGGCGATAAAGGCGACGAGCAGCCGCCGCCGCGCCGCGCTGCGCGGGTGGCGCTGCACGGTGGCCATGCAGCGCGAGCGGCGCGCTGGGCGGCGCCGCAGCGGCCGCGATGGCTGTGCGCACTCGCCCAGCTTTCGGTCGGGAGCAAAACACGGCGCAAATAGGAGGTTTTACGCCACCGAGCGTTCGAACGCCCAGGGGTTATACAGTACTTCCGCCCTGTCAGCGGTCAGCGGGCGCCCAGTTGCTCAGCTGCGGAGGCGGCGAGGCTACGCGAGCGGCGGCGCGCCTTTCTGCTCTTTTTCTTTTCCGTTTACGGCTCCGGTCAGGTACATGTATGCTAAGAGTTTTGGTTGTTGTATGCTAAAGAAAGAATTTTACACAACACTCACAAAAATGGGCACGGGACTGGCGCGCACTGGCACTAACACAGGTACACCACTGCTAAAGAAAGAAATAAAACATGGAAGCCAAAGGATGGATGGGAGGACGGCATTTTGGCGCTCACGCTCAAAATGTACTGTTAGCTTACTGGGAGAAAAGGGAGAGGGGGTTGTGTTCTCTAGGCCCCTAAGGCCCTACGCGCAGTAAGTAAGACGCGGCGGCGGCCCGCCCTCGCACTCCGCATTAGCGTACATAGTAAGATTTCCTATTGACGGGACTTGGCGAGGCTTGCTTGTCCCACTGGCCACTGCCGCTCCTGCTGCCCGCGCCGCCCCGACCGCCCCGCACCCGCCTCCCCCTCAGTAGCCCAGCTCCTTGACCAGCGCCGCGTACGAGTCCTCCTCCTCGGGCTCCGGCGCCGCCCGCGCCGCCCTCTCCCCCGGCTGCCGCTCGCCGGCCCGCGGCGGGTCGAGGCCGAAGAGCAGCAGAAGCCGCGCCTGCGCCGGCCTCACCGCCGCCTCGAGGTCGGCGAGCCACGCCGTCTCCGTCAGCAGACGCTCAACCTCGACCAGCCTCGCCTCGCCCCCACCGTTCCCGCCGCCGTCGCCCCCGACCCCACCACCCCCGCCGCCGCCCTCGGCAACCTCGCCGCCCTGGTACAGCCGAGTGGTGGAAAAGCTCAATTTGACAATTATATTAAGGGCAGGCTCTCGTACGAGAAGCAGACCAATAAGCTAACCATCATCTAGGCCCATTGGCAAGCCGAATCATGCTTTCCCGATGCTCGACCTGGCTGCTCGAATCCGGCAAACTCGAATCCCGGTGCACGTGGGTGAGCAGCCTGACATCTGACAACTGAATTTCCACTGGTTCGTCCTCCTCGGAGTCATCTTCCCCGTCCTCCTTCCGTTCGGCTCTTCGCTCGGTACGTTCGGTGTGGCTCACCCTCCATGCCGTGAACAGGCGCTTTATCCACCCTATATTCTTCTCTCGTTCCTCTGCCCGTGCCTTGGTCTTGTCGTTGTTTCGCACCCATGTCTGTATGGCAATCTAAGTGAGGTGTCTATTCTCAACCCAGAGGTAAAATTCTTTTCGTACGCCTCTTTATTGTTTAAATTCTTTTCGTTCTTAACGGAGTCGCTTAGGCGGCTCCGGTGGTGTGCCGGTGATAGTACTAGCACGCGCCAGTTCGCACCTGTGTCGAGCCTGTGTGCTGTGAGAGAGAGTTGTCTTGTTTAAATTCTTTCCTTCTTTTGTCGTACAAGTTTCGCGCGTCCCCACGATGGTGGCTGCCCTTGGCGGCTGCCACCGTGGGAGCCGACCTGGAGATCCTCAGCGGCTGCAGCCGCCCGCGGCCGCTGCCGAAGGCACCAGTCGCACGGACTTCAGCTCGGTACACGCGCTGCCGGCCGGTGGGCCACGCTCTGATGGACGACGCTCTGGTGCCCTAGACCAGCGCCAACCCCAACAGAGCTCTCCCGGCCGGCCGCTGCGACGCGACAGCCTGGTCCCCGAGCCTCCTGCTGCTGCCACGGCCCGACCTCCAGGCACAAGGCTCGCCTCGCAGCAGCCCGAGCAGCAGCCCTCGCAGCAGCCCTCGCAGCAGCCCTCGCAGCAGCCCTCGCAGCAGCCCTCGCAGCAGCCCTCGCAGCAGCCCTCGCAGCAGCCCTCGCAGCAGCCCTCGCAGCAGCCCTCGCAGCAGCCCTCGCAGCAGCCCGAGCAGCAGCCCGAGCAGCAGCCCGAGCAGCAGCCCGAGCAGCAGCCCGAGCAGCAGCCCGAGCAGCAGCCCGAGCAGCAGCCCGAGCAGCAGCCCGAGCAGCAGCCCGAGCAGCAGCCCTCGCAGCAGCCCTCGCAGCAGCCCGAGCAGCAGCCCGAGCAGCAGCCCGAGCAGCAGCCCGAGCAGCAGCCCGAGCAGCAGCCCGAGCAGCAGCCTGAGCAGCAGCCCAGAGCCAGCCCGAGCAGCAGCCCACCTGTGCCTCCGCCTTTGCCTCGACCTCCTCCGCCCCCTCCACCTCCGCAGCCGCCGCCCCTGCCTCTGCCGCCTCTGCCCTCTGCTGCCGCCACTGCTCCTCCTGTGACGCAACGCCATTCTGTCGCTGTCCTTGTCGTACCGGTATCAGCCTCTCTAAGAGCATCCGGGACGACTCCACCCTTCATTCCTGCTGCGCTGCCGCGAGCTACGCTGGGGGCTATGTCGCGTGTGGCGCTGCTGGCGGCTGCGCTGCTTCCTTTGCGGGCGTCGCGTGCGGCGCTGCTGGCGGCTGCGCTGCTTCCTTTGCGGGCGGCGCGAATGGCGGCGCGGCCGGCGGTACCGCTCGCGTCGGGGCGAGTGGCGAGCCCCTCCTCTACCGCATTCCGAGAAGGAAGGGCGAGGTCGAGTGCAACGCGACGAGATGGCAGGAACTCGCGGCTGGTCGCGTGGTTCCGGCGACGCTACGGACCGCCCGCGGCGCTTCCAACCGCACCGCCGCGCCCCGCCCCGCCGCCCTCACCACCGTGCCCTCTGGGAGGCTCACAAACGCCTCCGCGCCGTTCGCGACCAGGTCGGCAAGACGTGGCGCGAGTGGGACGGGCGCACGCTATACCAAGACGTTGTCGGGCCCTTCCAGGAGACCAAGGCGGTGCCACGGCGCCGCTACCACCCGCCCAAACTTACGCCGGCGGCGGAGCTGCTGGATCTTTCGGAGTTCTCGTCTACCAGCGAGTTCTTACAGCAGGCGCAGCGGCGGTACACCGTCGGCATACACCATCGCAACTGGCTCGCCCTCGCCGACGCCTTCGTCAGCGAGGCATCCCGGCGGGGCGGCCGCTACAAGACTGGCAGGTGCAAGAACCACAAGTGCTGGCGCGAGGCGATTCGGTTCGTCGCAGTCAGCCAGGAGGGGGCTGGCGCCTTCCTGAATGCGATCCCCATGCGGGATGATATGAAGATGGAGACGTGGGCGATGCGCATTACAGTTCAGCGCCGCCTCGGCCTCCCGCTCGATGTTGCCTGCCAGGCGGTGGAGGCGGGCAAGAAGGCGCCAAACGGCAAGCCGCACGAAGAACTCGGCGATGCCGCAATGGTCAACCCGCGTGCGAAGCACGCGACACGACACAAATACCTGCTCAAACGACTCGTCAAGACCCTTCGCTCGGCGTGGGGCATGCTCATCGAGATGGAGCCGACTGCACACCTCAGTTACAGTAACCCAAAACAACCTGACGTGGCGGCGGCGAACATCGGCAAAGGGCATGTGCGCCTCGTTGGCGACTTGAAACTCACGAGCTCGCTTACGTGCAAGGGTGGCGATCGGCTCGGCTGGAAGGGGGCTTTTGTCGCCTTCGGCAACACCGAGCGGGCGCTGCTCGACTTAGTGTTAGGGCATGCTGCATGGCCGCGGCCGGAGGGGGGGGGGAGGGGGGGAGGGAGGCGGAGGATGCAGAGGCGGAGGCGGCGGCGGCGGAAGAGGAGGAGGGGGAGAGTGAGGGGGAGGCGGAGGCGGGGGCACCTGTGACGGCCCCCTACAAGAAGGGCGACTACCGGTTCGCGCGGGAGAAGAATTGCGACCTGCGTTTGCTCGACTTCGAGACGTTCGGCGGCTTCGGGGACGGCGTCCGCAGAATTCTTCGGCAGGCGGCGGACCAGCTGAGTAACAAACTTTCGCACGCTCAGCACCTCGATGAGGTCACATGGACCACCAAGAACTGGCACGGGCTGCAGATGCAGCGCTTGTCTGTCGTTCTCCACACCGCCGTGGCGTGGCAGACGGTGAACGAGCTAGCGTGCGGGGACAGCGGCATTGTGCACGGAGCGAAGTGCATTGCCGTTCTTAACGGAGTCGCTTAGGCGGCTCCGGTGGTGTGCCGGTGATAGTACTAGCACGCGCCAGTTCGCACCTGTGTCGAGCCTGTGTGCTGTGAGAGAGAGTTGTCTTGTTTAAATTCTTTTCGAAAGATTGGCGGCGGCGGCGGCAGGCGACGCTCGCGCTCCACCGGCACCGCTGCCTACGTTGTGCCCGATCTGTGCATCCACCGGTCTCTGCCGACCGGCATGCGCGCCTCCTGCCTCTTCTACTCCTTCGCGGCGACCGGCCTCGCCCTCCTTGTCCTCGCAAACTACACGCTCACGCTCTTCGACGCCTCGCTGCACTCCCGCCGCCAGCCGCCCACCCGACCGCGGATGAAGAGAGAGACTGTGGTCGCAGAGACGGCAGTCCCGTCAGCAGCCTCCCACCGCGAGGCGGTGGTGAAACCCGGCGCAGCTGCCGGTGCCGGCGCCGCTTCCGCCGCCTCCTCTGCCGGCGGCGCTGCCCGCGCATCTGCCCTCTCCGGCTCTCTCCCGCAGAGCTGCAGGCCGACGCCCGACGCGGTGCGGCAGCGGCAGCTGCGGCTCCTCCCGGGAGGGACGTGCGTCGCGGGCAGCGTCCTCTGCGCGGCGCTCGCCTCCGCCCTGCAGAGCGGCGGCGGCGGTGGCGGCGGCGGCGGAGGCGGCGGCCGGCTTGTGGTCACCTCCTTCGTGGCGGGCCAGGGTGGCATGCTCGCCACGCTCTCCTCCTCGGCGGCGGCGCTCAAGGCGCCCCTCCTCGCACAGGGCCCTCGCACGAGTTTGGAGTGTGCGCCTCACAAGCCTGCTCCACCTGCACAAGCCTGCTCCACCTGCTACCCAGGTACCTCTCCTCGCCCTCGCACTCGGAGCAGGCGCCGCCTCGGACGGCGCTGCAGCCTGCGCCGCCGCAGCTGCGCCGCCGCCCGCGATCGCCGACCTCGCAGCAGGCGAGCCGCGACCCCGCCCTCCTCCGCCGCCCTCCTCCCACTGCCCAGCCGCGCGAGCGACGTCAACCCGACGCCTCTCCGCCTGCCGACTCCGCCAGCCAACTCCGCCTGCCGACTCCGCCTGCCGACTCCGCCTGCCGACTCCGCCTGCCCCGCCCTCACCGCCCCTTGCCCCGCCCTCACCGCGCCTTGCCCCGCCCTCACCGCGCCTTGCCCCGCCCTCACCGCCCCTTGCCCCGCCCTCACCGCGCCTTGCCCCGCCCTCACCGCGCCTTGCCCCGCCCTCACCGCCCCTTGCCCCGCCCTCACCGCGCCTTGCCCCGCCCTCACCGCCCCTTGCCCCGCCCTCACCGCCCCTTGCCCCGCCCTCACCGCGCCTTGCCCCGCCCTCACCGCGCCTCCCCTCAGGCGAGTCGCTCCCTCCCGCGCCGTCCGCCGCCGCGGCTGGGCGCACGCCGCGCTCGCTCCGACGGCATGCGCCGCGGCACCGCGCCTGCTCACGCCTCCGGCTGTGGACAGGAGCACGCCTCTCGCCCTCAAGTGGCGGGCCCTGTCTGCGCTCCTCGCCTCGGGCGCGGAGCTGCTGTGCACGGACGCGGACGCGGTGCTGGGCGCGCCTCCCTTCGAGCTCGCCTCTCTCGACTCTGACTTCGAGCTCCTCTCGGACGGGTGGGACGAGGAGTCCGCCCACGGCTTCATCATGGGACAAGCCTAGCCGAGACCCGTGGCCGAGACCCGAGGACGTACCCGAGACGTACCCCGAGACGTAGCCCGAGACGTAGCCCGAGACCGAGCCGAGATGCGGCCGAGGTACCTTAAGGTAGCCCGAGGCCCCCTCACGGGCGCCGGCGGTGCGCGTGTGGACGGCGTCGCTTCACGCCTCGCTGCTTGGACAGGCGCCGACGACCCCTCGATGGGCTGGTCGCGCTACTGCGAGACGTCGGTCGTCGCCTCCCTCTCGCCCGCCCTCTTCTTCGCTCGACCCGCTAGGCGGTAGCCGTCGCGAACCGCATGGCGGCGCGCGCGGCGGCCGAGGGCTGGCCGGCGGCGGCGGGCGCGGCGTGGGGGGTCGGAGGCGGCGAGGAGGGCGGCGAGGGCGCAGCGCTGAGCCAGGAGCTGCTGCTCCCCGCGTTCGACGGCGTCTCTCGCGTCGGCGCTTCGGCGCGCGCCCCGCCGCCCGCCGACTGCTGGCTGCGGAGGGCCTTCACCGCCCCGCCCGTGAGCAGGTGCGCGTCCTGCCCGTCGACTGCTGGCTGAACGCGCGCTCGGCGCTGTCGCGCCTCGGCGCGGCGCCGGGCGGAGGCCCTCCCTCTGCCCGGCACGCGGCGCTGCTGCCTGGCCGCGGCGCGGCGGGCGGCGCGGAGCGGCAGGCGGCGGCGGCCGGCTCGTACCACCGCGGCGCGCCGCTCGGCGAGGCTTGGCGCAGCGCGACGACCGGGTCGCTGCTGCACCGCTCCGCCGTCGAGAGGACCGCCATCGACCCGCTCCAGCCGATGCTCCAGGAACGGTGGGACCAGGAGGGCTCCAGGAACGGTCCAGGATGGAAGGGTCTAGGAACGGACCACGCTCGAAGCACCACCGCCAGGTGCTTGTCGAGCTCGGCTAGATCTCGCTCGTTCTCGGCTAAATCTCTCGTTCTTTTTTTTTGGAAAACTGTACCCCATGTCCCCCAATGTACCCCACATTCTGCTGACGGCCTTCTATCCAAGGAAGCCCTCCACTAAGCTCGTCCGCTCGCACTTGCCGCGCCGCATTGCGCCCGACTATGCCGCCGCGAGCAGCACGCCTAGACCCCCGCGACGCCTATTGCTCACGGAACCCGCCGCCTCACCTCACCACCCCCACCACGCGATGCGCCCTCTCTCGCGGCGCGAGCGGCTGTACCCCCCTCGGCCTCGCACCGCCTGCCTACTCCCGCTCGCAGGTACAGCCGCTGCCATCGAGGAAGCCGCGAGACGCGTCCGCTGCTGCCCATTCCCCACCCTTGTCCCGCGCGACCGCCCTCCCTCTCTTCTGGCAAGAGAGCGACCCGCTGTCGCTTGCTCGCCAATCGCCGCCCGGCTCCAGTCCGAGCGCCGAGGACGCGAGAGAGCGTGCCGGCTGCCTCGTCTCGACGCTCACGCCGCCGACGTACTGCCCGTAGGCTCGGCTCTCCTCTCTCGCTCTCTCTTCCCGTTCAGTTGCATGGCCCCCTGAACCCCGGCGACTCACATCGTCATGGAAGAACGCGGTTCCTCGTTCGCGCCGCCAAAGACGGCGTCCAAGGTTGCGGTGGTCGTGGACCCCTTCTCGACCGGCGGCATGCTGTCGGTGGTCCTCTCGCGGCGCGGCTTTGCAGTCATGGCGCTCTGGACGAACGAGTGCGGCGGCAACGAGGAGCATGTCCCAGCTGAGGTCAAGGCGTGGAGAAAGTCGATCGGGTACTTGGCGGAGGTGTACGAGCCGGAGGGTGGGACCGAGGCGATTGCGGCCGCGGTCAAGAAGGCGTGTGGCACCAAGACGCTCAGCACAATCATCTGCGGAGGTGAGTCTGGTGTCAAGGTTTGCGACGCCCTCTGCGTGTACCTCAATTTCCGGGGCAACTCGATCGCCAACGGGATGGAGAACCGGCGGGACAAGCAGATTCAGCAGGACAATCTCCGCAACTCGGGCATTCGCGCGGTGAAGGGCCTCGCCAGCACCGAGTGGGAGGGGCCCGTCGAGACGTTTGTCGACTCGCAGACCTTTCCTGTTGTGGTCAAGCCGGTCGAGTCTGCCGGCTCAGAGGGAGTTAAGATGTGCAAGAGCAAGGAGGACGCCAAGGCGCACTTTCACCTGCTTATGAACTCGCAGCGCGCGATCGGCTCCGTCGGCGCGGCGGTCCTCGTCCAGGAGTTCCTGCGGGGAGACGAGTGCGCCGCCACGACCCTCGTGCGGCGGGCCAGGCACCGGCCCCGCCCCGTCACGCTCCATCCCCGCCCTCTGCCTCCGCTCAGGTACGTCTGCGACCACGTCTCCAAGGATGGCAAGCACAAGACCATCATGCTCTGGAAGTACGACAAGCGCCTCGCCAACGGCTCGCAGTTCGTCTACTTTGGCATGAAGCCCATCCCCCTTGACGCGCCCGAGGCGCAGTCCATCATCCAGTACACCCGCTGCGCCATCAACGCGATCGACATCACAAACGGGGCGACGCACTCTGAGATCATGATGACCAAGGACGGCCCCTGCCTCGTCGAGGTCAACTGCCGCTGCCACGGCGGCAACGGCGCCTGGATGCCGCTCTCTTCGGGCCTCACGGGAGGCTACAACCAGGTGACGGCCGCCATCGACGCCTACGTCGACCCGAAGAGGTGGGCGGCGATCCCCTCGATCCCGCCGATCCCATTCCTCGCCGGTGGGCTCGAGGTGATGTTTGTGAGCTACGTCGAGGGCAAGGTCGTGGGCTGCCCCGGTTACAAGAAGATCGAAAAGCTCAAGAGCTTCTCGTCGATGGATGCGGCGGTCGGCGTCGGCGACAACATCGTCAAGACGATCGACCTGCTCACCTCGACCGGGTCCTGCATCCTGAGCCACCCTGACCCGAAGGTGGTGGAGGCGGACACCGCTTTCATCCGCAAGCTCGAGAAGTCCAACAAGATGTTCATTCTGGACGGCGTCACGCCCGGGCCGGAGCGGGACAGCGGGACCAGCGACCGCAAGTCCGAGCTTCAATGGGCGTTTGAGCACCACGGGGCGTCGCGGAAGTCGGTGCGGGGGGGATCGCGCGACTCGCTCGTCGACCGCGTCAACGAGTCGAAGATGCTCGAGGCGCAGATGAAGGACATCTACGAGAGCCAAATCTCGAGCTTGCACAAGGCGGTTGCGGGCGCTGGCGCCGTGTCGGTTTTGCTCGGCGCGGGGCTGGTTGCCATGGCCATGAAGAAGTAGGGCGGCAACAGCCCGACCGCTTTGGGGATGAGGTACATGCTG